CTACTTGAGGAAAAAAACGTTTAAAACAGAGAGCCGTAAATTTCTGCTGAATGCGTTCTAGTTTGTTTGCATCAGTTGACGTAATGGAATTCCAAACTACTGAAGCGTATTCAACCTTGGATCTAACTAAAGTAAAATATAAAATGAACATGCATCCAAGGGTTGAATAGTTAAATGTGATACTGCGAATTATACCTAGCATCTTAATACACTGCGAAAATACAAAATTAACATGATCATGAAAATGAAGTTTAGAATCAAGGTATACGCCCAAGTCTTTGACTGAATATGTTCGAGTTATAGTGAAATGAAGAAGTTTGTATTCGTATATCAAATAGTTAGTTTTTCTAGAGAACGTTATAACTTTGGTTTTGTCAGCGTTGAGTTTCATATAGTTCGCTGCACACCAGCTACGTATACAGTCAACGTCAGATTGCAGAAGATTACAATCTTCAGGACAGCTAATAGCACAGTAAATTTTAATGTCGTCTGCAAAGAGTAGGTACCTGGAGTGCTTAATTGAATCACACAAGTCGTTTATGTAGACATTGAAAAGCAGAGGCCCAAGAACAGATCCCTGTGGAACACTGGACAATACTTCAAAGGGCGATGAAATAGTTTCACCATTACGGACCCGAGATTGTCTCTTGGTTAGGTAACTGCGTATCCAGTTTACATAACCACCAGAAAATCCAAGGGCACTCAGTTTGTGAAGAAGCAAAGAGTGGGGAACGAGGTCGAAAGCAGAAGTTAGGTCAGAATAAATGGCATCCACTTGACGTTGAGAGCCAACTAGGGGAGTAATAAAATCAAGATACGTTACTACTACTACTAATAATAATAACAATAATAATTCAGTTCTTTATTAATGTGCTTAGCCAACAGCCACAAGGCCAATTACGGACACAGCACAGTGTAGATAAAAGCAGTTACGTACTGGACAAACACAACATAAAGTCAAAGACTAATTAAAGGTAGGCAATGGAGGAAAAACACATTAATGCATATAAGGAAGCAAACAAAATAATAATTATAATTATAAATGTAAAAAGTAAGGAAATTACAGTAAAAACAAATCACAGAATGCACGGTGTCTTTAACCGTGATTCAAAGGAGGATGTGAGATTCTCAAGAATTATTTGGGTTGTATTTGTATCCACGCACAGTTCTGACCAGTTAGTAAGGTGATAGGATTTAATATAGGTACTTCGGGAAGTGTAGTTGCAGCCAACGAAACATTTCGTGATGGGTTCCTGCCGTCACCATCGTGATAGAGGTCTGCGACAGTGTGCAGAACTGCACTTTCTGCTGACAGGCAGAGATGGGGTGTTTGCGTAAATTTTTGTATTCGTTTCGGATTCGCACTGTCACAAGTTTTGAGAACTCACTCACGCACGGTGCTGAGCCCTTCTTGAGAAGCTTCCAGTTGTGCAGCTACTCATGAACTCTCCAGCATTTTATGGAACCCGAAGATTCATTACCGTGTTCACAAGAGCCCTCCGCTGGTCCCTATCCTAAGCCGCATCAATCCAATCCATACCATCCCATCCTATCTCTCTAAGATCCATTTTAATAGTCCATCCACCTACACCTTGGTCTTGCCAGTGGTCTCTTTCCTTCTGGCTTTCCCACCAATATCATATATGCATTCCTCTTCTTCCCAATTCGTGCTATATGCCCTACCCATCACATCCTCCTTGACTTGATCATTCTAATTATACTTGGAGAAGAGTACAAGTTATGAAGCTCCTCATTATGAAGATTTCTCCAACCTCGTGTCACTTCAGCCCTCTTCGGTCAAAATATTCTCCTCAACACCCTTTTCTCAAACACCCTCAGTCTATGTTACTCCCTTAATGTCAGAGACCAAGTTTCACACCCAAGTTTTGAGAACCCGTTACATAATGTATTTATACTTGATATTCCTAATGTTCTGAATTATTTATTAACATCAATGATAAATAAACATTCGTACTGGTTTAATCTCGTCTCGACAGATATGTTTGCTCATGTATAGAAATCGAACTGATTAGCATACGTCTTTCCGTGTGCAGTGTTACACGTGAATAGGGAAGGTACACAGAAGTGAGGCTCACGTGTAACAAGGAGAAGAATCAATTTTGTTGCATTTGAAGTTCTCACGACGGCTACTGTCTTGGGATGCGTTTCCATGTAGTCTGGTAGAAGTTTACGTACTTTTGGAGGAACTTAACTCCCTCTATCTTCTGGGCCAATGCGTAAGTCAAGCAAGCAACCGCCAAGAAGCAAGCACATCTGCTGGTTGCTTGCTTGACTTGTTCTGCGACTCGGAAGATACGCCAAGTAAACAATGTTTGAAAACACCAGATACGCCTCTATGTACTTGCTGAACACTGGGAAAGTCCCAGCTCGACCGTTAATCGCATTGTGATTGTCGTATGAAGCGATCATGTTTTGAGACTGCCATTTTGTTAAGAATTTTACTTTAGAAGGAGAGCCACATGAGGCAGCACCATCTTACTTCTGAACGTTCCGAAAGATTAATTTTCACTACCAGATGTGAGTCAATCAGGAACAGCGCGTCGAATATACCACTAAAGAGGTCGTAAAATGTTTCTATAATTAGGTACACAAGTTGATAAATGTGTACGGAGAGATTGGGACTAAATTGAAGTACGAACGAGATTTGTGGATGCTGTTTATTATAAAGATATTTTTATAGTGCAGGGAATCTATTTTTAAAATGCACCTTGTGAGGATCCATTGCGCTGACCACGTTACACCATCTGTCCGCGAAAGTTGGCACTAACTTCGCCGACAAGCGGCGATCGCTCGGTCGGTATAGTTCTCTTGCGGACTGCAGGCGACGGAGTACTGACACTTTCAATTTAGGAAGCTGATGTCCTCTTTGACAAGAGGAGGGATCTGTCACTGAAAATAATGGCTACTTCTGCTGCACCCAAACATGTCACAAAACAATCATCATTAGCGTACACCATGAAACGCAGTAGTCGCTACGCTATGAAACTGTCTTCACTACGTCATGAAATAGATCGTCCTGCATTTTCCTCTGACCGGATTCGAAGTTCCTAACAAAGCAAATCGCTGCCTTCCTTCTCCCTGCCTAATGGAAGAGCAGATGAGTAGTTTACTGAAGTCTGACATTCATCAAAGTAATATTTAAACTTAAGTTGCTTACAGAGAACACAGCTCGTCACCGGTTCAAACACCAACCGGTTAATACTGTTGGAGGCAATAACTTCTGTTTACCAAGATCATATGGAACACATAAATATGTTCTGTGGGAAAATGCTGAGTTTCTTAATGTCTGTATTCCTACATATAGTGACCACTGTATTTGAAGGATTAAAGTGGCTTTCTGTAGGTTGTATGAAGTTAATTGGGCGGAAGTATGATAACGCCGAACTCGGGGAAGTAACTTTCAGAACAGAAAGGTCATACAATTTAAACGTTTTTAGTTGTAAAATGTTTGTGTTCCTTGGATATCATCGTCTAAGAAACATTAGTATAGTTTAAATGTTTTGCTGTTGCAGGCCTGCACCTGCGCACTTTCGAGGAACCGAGGATGACGGCGGAGACGGCGCCGAGCACGGTGGCTCCTCCGGGTAGCGAGGAGGGAAGCAAGTACCAATACTATGACCCGGAGTACGCGCGCATGGAGGCCTGGCTTGACGAACACCCAGACTTCGTGCAGGATTACTTCCTGAGGTGCGATAAGTGTCGGAATTATGCACGGCGCATTGTATTTTAAGGTTTATGATCATAAGTCACAATCAGTCAGGCAATCAGGTTCTAATCACACGATTTTCTTCATTTAATCAGATGTTATTTGATTACCAGATTGAGAAAGTTAAATTTAACTTTAAAATACGTAATCCTGATATTGGAGTATCATCTATCCCTCCTTTGTTGTAGATGTTTCTCTTCCCCCCTCCTTATATATATTCTCCCCTCCTCTTTGCCGCTCATTTCTGACTGATTTGCTCACAGCATTTTAGGTCATTCTGTACCTCTTTTTCCACAGGGCCAGTAACAGATAAATGAGCCATGTTGCCGTTGTTCGTCTTTTTGTTGTCACGAGGAATTGTAAGAATCTCGGCTGCTTCCGCTTGTCGTTGAGTTGCCTGTTCTTGCTGGCAGGAAGGCGACGCGGCAGGTGGTGGACACGTGGTTGGTCTCCCATGCAACACCAACATCGGCCAACACCGGCAGCTGCGTCAGCCCTCCAGTTGCCGACCTCTCCTCTCCCAGCCACCAGGCCAACCCTGCACCCACTTCCGGTTCACTTCCGGCTAGTACAGCTCCATCATCGAGGGCCGGATCTGGGGCCACGACGCCTGTCCGCAAGATCTCAGCGCACGAGTTCGAGCGAGGGGGACTTCTGAAGCCCATCGTGAATACGATCGACGGGACTCCAACCTTTCTGTCCGTGTCTCCTACTGGGGACTGCTCCGCGACCTACACGAGCACTAGTGGCCCTGTCGGTTCAGGAGGCACACCCCTGTACCCCGGTCCTGGCAGGCCGCAGCGGCGGTCACGACATGAGCTCCGACATCTTGATGAGAAAGAACTGATCTTCGAATTGGTGGGTTCTGCTTTGTTCTCTGCTGTTACTGCAGACTGGCAGCATGTAACGTATGTACGCTTATGCAGTCTTAACGTGTCTGGAACCAGCGCATTCATTGACTGATAAATCTAATGATAAATAGATAATTTTTCACGTCACATTCCAGTTTCATCTGTGATTTATGCCCGAATTATTGGTCACATAAGTAATTACATATCCAGTTGTCTTTCAGCATATGTTTAGGATGCTTTATATTCTACCACTCACAACGTGTTCCGGTCTGTATAACTGCATCTCCATTTCCATGTTTTGCTTGCCACATTAATATGAAACGTAATTTAGCATCTTAAGTAAGTGCTGATAGAGCGGCCTCCGTAATCTAGGGGTAACGTTCCCACCTCGTGACTCAAGGTACTCGGGTTCAAACCCGGCGGAGGTCGTGGAACAAGTCCTCCGGGAGGGACTTTAAGCCGTGGGTCCCGTGTCGTAGCTTTACGGCACGTAAAAGAACCTCATGTCTCTAGGAGACCTCTGAGCTAAATTCAGGACATTTCCCGCCCAACAGTAGTCTCTAACGCCTCTGGTAGATGGGGGAAGCATCGAGATACCGCTGAGCCAGTAGAGGCCGAACTCGCTGGCTGAGTCGGGACTGATGGCACGCACCAGTACCGGTAGGGTTTAGAGACTGGTAGAATATCACAGGGGGACGCACAATGGACCAGTACTGGTCTAAGTGCATGGGGAAACCCACCCTCTCCAATAACAACAACAACAACAAGTGCTGATAGACGGATAGGCATTTCTTAGTAAACTAATATTCCAAAATGAGAAATGAGACATATTGAACCACTGGTCTCATATTATCTCCAACCATATGAACCCTGTGCATACAGAAGTGTTACGAAATGTTATCTGATCGTGCAGCAGTTAGATGTCAGTTTCTCCCCACAGTAACAGCCTCTGTGGAAAATAATACGAACTGTAATAACGGATGAATACTCATGAGACTGTGTGCAATTGATGCAGGAGGTGTCAACACTTTAAATCAGTCTCACTTCAAGTGCATGAACTGATAATATTGTAACGTGTTTTGTCTACTGAAGACGCTGTTCGGGTTGTTAATTGATTTTATTAACAACCTACAAGTCGTAACCACAGTTATAGCACTGCTACGGGTTTACACAATTTACAAACCCTACACAATAGTCTCTTCACTCTATCTTCAGTAGTCTTCACGTATTTATAACACGGGAGCTGTACAAGTCTCTGTGAATTACGCACTCCCAATGTAACTGTACTACAGCACACATACAGTCTTGAAGGCACACAATAAGTCTTCACTGGCTGACTTCTCAGTTATCGCGCACTATCACAAATTATCTCACAGAAAACCTTCTAACCACACGTTCGGTTCCTCTTTTTCTTCTTCCCGCGACTGCTGCTGTATTTCACCTGACTACTCAATACTGAATCAACAAGTCAAGGTCAAAGTCAAAATCACATTGCGACTGACGGTCGGTGAGTCTTGGTGTCGAGCCCTGTTGGGGCTCATGACCAGATATTTATTACTGCTTCACATTTACGGTCTTGTTTTTGAGGAGCACCATCTCTGACGAGAGGACGGGTCTGTCTTTTATATATGCTACTGACCCGTCCCAGCGCAGTCTTTCTCGGGTCCGAGTCCCTTGGGACTTGCGACCATATTTTACTGTCTCAGATTTGATACTTCCCTTTTCGTCGCCGCCTACGACTCGCAGGGTCATGGTGGAGGTATTCGACCGCGCCTCCACACGGGTGTGAATGAACACGAGTACTCTCGTTATGTAGCTTCCGCCCTGAGCACGCAGAAATCAGCCTATTGGCCAACAACGGACTCCATAGACAACACACTGCTGCCCAGCAACAGATATCAGGTATTGTTGTCAGGCGTGTTTACCGAGCCTCGCGCAGCAACGGGATTAGTGGGGGTATGTGACATCACTCGTACTTCCTGTTGCGCAATCCAAGCGTTCACAGAGTTGTCGCCGAGCAACGCACCGATACAATTCGCAACTCTCACGTTGCGCGCGTGCCCCAAGGCCTCTGTGGCTCAACAGTTCCTGCATAGGGCCAATACGCCACACTATTGTATTTTATGGCCCAAAGAAATTTTAGGCGTGAGGGCAGACATGTAAATGGCCCTTGTCTAGATCCTATACTACATGTATTGAGTCTTGAGAAGCGTTATGTTTGTGAATTCTGCATTCTGTGAACATGGGTAAAACTACTATATTCATAACGAAGAAATGGTTGAGAAGCTCTGTAAACCGTTGTTTTCCTATCACATTTCCTTCACAGCAAACCTTGGACTCTGATGATACTAACTGCACTCCCTCCAGGAGAGTTGAGTCTCACGCGCGGCACTGTCTCTTTAAACTTCTTCTCACTCCCAAATTAGAGAATATATATTTATTTGCCTAGCCTGCTCACTGCTCACATGTTAGTATTAGGTAAACCAAAAATTAATTACACTTCAGCTCCGTGATGTAGCAGGCTGTGCCCATAACATAAAGATTAATAACATTGTGTCGTGCTATATGTCGTCCATCGGTGAGCAACGAAACAGTGGAAATTGTTGAGACCGTTGCATAGAAGTATCCATAACAACGAGTGTTCGTTGCGTAACAATGCTCGGTAAACACTCCTCCCCGCTAGGCTGTGACGTCACGCAACAGTAGGGCGTCTATTGCTAGAAAGTGCGTAGGTAGACACACGTGACAACAATACTTGATATCTTTTTCCGTTATGTGGTCCGTGCCGAGCCTATACAAGGAGCAGGAATTAAGATTGAGTATTGAGTACGACTATTGAGTATGCAGTGCGAGTATGAGGTACGAGTTACGAGGATTGAGTATTCAGTATAAGTTGGAGTCTTAGTATAGCCACCGTCGGAGACAGTTGAATGGATTCGCCGGGATACAGTGGAAGCAGTAATTGTGATACTGCAAGTGATAACAAGTGTAGAGTGTGAGTGTGTAGAAGCGAAGCACAATAAATATTCGCTACATCCTTGACGGCATGAAGTTATTTGTCGCGTGACATACCCAACACGTGACAACATTCTATTGGCACTGCTGATGATCAACGATTGAGGACATAAGATCTGCACGTTTAGTTGTGAGAGTTATTTCATAGACATCAAGTTGGCTGAAGTGTTAACACTTCTGACTTGTATTCAGGAGTGCTTGATTCGAATCGCGGATGGGACAGAGTCTATCCTGATAGAGCTTTTATAGTTCTCCTCAGTTTGCCCAGGCAAATGCCAGGAATGAACCTTATATTAGCCCACAACAATCTCCTTCCACATCCTGTCTGATTATTTGCAGCCATACTGTCCTTTGGCACTATAAAGTATGGCTTTCTGACAGTGTCATTAAATATACAACTACAGAATGTATTGATTGTAGACTGATGGCAGTTGTGAAGTTCGCTTGGGCGCCCCTGAATTACGGAGAATGTGGATTACAACTTACTGCTAATTGATAATGTTCATGTTTGTTTGTAGGTGAAGGACATCTGTAATGAACTGGATGTGCGGTCACTGTGTCACAAGATCCTTCAGAACGTCAGTATGCTTCTCAATGCAGACAGAGGATCCTTGTTCCTCGTCCAGGGTGACAGGGGGTCGTATGATGACAACTCTAGAAGTACTAACAACAATTTGAGTTCAAGCAACTCAAAGTCGCCAAACTCTCTCGGTTCTATACCCAATAATACAGCTGCTGGGAAGCCGAGGTCCAGAAGGAATTCTCTGTCGTTATCGAGCTCGGGGAACTCGACGAGGCCCAGGTTCCTGGTGTCCAAGCTGTTCGACGTGTGTTCTCGTTCGACGCTGCAGGAGATGGAAAAGAAGGAAGAGATCAAAATTCCCTGGGGAACGGGGATTGTCGGTTACGTCGCAGAGAGCGGGGAGCCTGTCAATATACCTGATGCATATAAGGTCAGTGCTACTGAACGTCACTCGTCCCTCCAACGCGTCTGAATGGCCTCAACGGCTGTCTTGATCTCTTCTCAGTAAGAAGCCCGTTGCGAGAGATGTGTAAAATGATTTCCAGTCAGCCTGTAGCCTCCATTATATGGCAACTAGAGTCCCTAGGTTTCGGAAAGTGGGGACTGCAGAAATGTAGCAGCATCACGGCAGAAACACGTACACGTAGCAAGGGATAGGCCCAGGCAGTCGAAATGCCGTTGTACACAAGGAAGCCTGGGCGGACAGCAGTAAGGCGATGTTCTCGAGACAGAAAAATGAGGGTCATGTGTCCCGCTGAGGCCCGAAATCAAGAATGAATTTACCAGACAGCCATTGTTCTCGTTGTCCCAGCCAACCCGAAACCACCGGATTATATTAGTGCAACAAGGGACTAGGTCCTTGAAGACGGCATGTCGAACCAAGCTAGAAGAATCCTGTGACTGACGACCTACCGACCGACTGCTGAATTGCTGCTGGCCCTCGCCAGCATATTTATTCTAGATTCAGGAATTCACGGGACTCATCACCATATTTAACTCTCTGTCGGCGCTTGGAGTCCTGGAATTCTACTAAAAGAAGACTCGTCTGGCGTGCTTCTGTATGTCACTTTTTTGCGGACTGCCCGGGCAACATCGCTCAACAGAACCACAACTGTTGTGAGTATGCCCGTTGCTGTGGGTAGAAGAAGGGAACGTTGTCCCCGTGCTTAACTAATTAAGCACTACGCCATCAAGGCGTATGGGGGAGTGGATGTATAAATCCACAAATTGTTGACCTCGGCACTAGTTTTACCCCCAGGGAAAGAGCCCCCGGTACCCAATGGATAGGAAGCTTGGTGGGCCTCAGAGTCGGTCTGGACGACGTGGTGAACATAACATTCTTGACCCTTCCGGGACTCCAAATCCGACCCCTCCGTTATCCAGTCCCTAACCTGTCGCTATAGCGACCACGCTATCCCGGCTCCCCGTTCTGTAGGTACGTGTTTCTGTAACCATGGAAATGGATGACTCTGCAATATTCCTTCGGCCTCCACATTCCGAAACGTATGGATTGTAGTTGCCATATCGCAATATTCTGGATGGAAACCTGAACTTATGGTATTGTCAGTGCGTCTTTTCCCCGCATAACATTTGAACCTGTTGGAGGATTTTAATGAACATTTATGCAATGAGTGTTGCACTGTATATTTGTAATGTTAATTATCATAGTCCTTTATTTAGTATTTGTTACTTTCGTGGCCTACAGCTGAAACGTGTAAAAGTAATCTACTGAGATTCCTTTTGAATGAGTGAGCAAATACTGGAGTAGTACTATGATTAGGCCACGACCGCTTCCTTCCAGATACTTTCGAACTCGTCCTTCGTCAAGTATTCTGCCATTTGACATTGTGTACTGTGCATATATCTAAAAGGGAGACAGTGTCGTATAATCCACAGAAATTTGAACATTATAACTCGTAGTACGTAGTTTAATTTTAATGTTGAAGGAAGAGACCATTTGGGGTTCCCAGGTGTAGATGGAAAGATAGTATTAAGGTAGATTTTAAGGAAGGAAGGAAGTAGGGGCTGTTGTGAAAATGATAATGAATCTTTGGATTTGTTAAGGCGGGGAGTTTCTTGAATACCTGAGTTAGCGTTTAGCTCTCAAGAAGGGACTCCACTTCTTGGAGCTGGTTAGTCCTTAAACAGAGAGAAATGAATGCCTCCGAAGAAGTGCATGTGGTAGATCTTTATCTCCTTTTCCTTTGCTACACGGTAGCTAAGCGGATAACTGTTGTACTACGTACCACGGTGAGTTCAGTTTCTGAATGCATGAACTCTGAGGGTTCTTCTTCCATCAGATATGTTGTTTTCCTTCGCCACAAGCATAACTGTTCCGTGGTCCAACCAGCCTCCTTCTGAAGGCTCGATTTACAGAATTAAAGCAGATCAAATGTTGCCGAAATCAGTGCCAAGGTTGAAACTCCACGGAGCTATACCTTTATGCCCCGTATATATTCGTGTTACTGGAAAATTCCGTTGCAGTTCAGCAGCTAGTCATTTATCTCATATCACCGTCCTTAATTCTCCTTGTTCCTTTCCTGCATTTCTTTCATACCTTTATCTCCTCCCTTCCTCTACCGTTAAAGCAACCAGTTAGCTACATCTGTAGCCTTCAGATGGCACCCATGTAAGCGAGTGGAAACTACTACGGTGTTAGAGAGACGTAACACACACATAGACAGTAATAAACCGTCTGTATTTTATATTCTGTTTATTCATAGTTAATTAATGAGGCTGTCAGGATCTCAGGATGTATAGCTTTGAATGGTAGGACGATAATATGAGTTGATAAGGGCATGGAAGAAAGCAGTTGTGGCCTATTTCAATGTACTATCTCGGAATTTGCGTGGATGTATTGAGAAAAATCACAAAAATAAAATCCAGCAGGATAGTCGGCGACCCGGCCGAAATTCGAACTAAGCACCTTCCGAATAGAAGAGCTATTACCGCTTGGGTCGACGGGGTCGCTCAGCCTGTTTTATATCTGCATGACGATGTTTAAGCACGTGGATAACGTAACTTTAACTTTTGCTTAATGACATGTTATTGAAGCTGCTGTTCACAAAACGTAAGCCTCTGTTGTCAGTACATGAAAGTGTCCAGCTATTCTTACAAAATGTCCCCTCTTCCTCTCTGCTGTCGCAGTGTTCACAGCGAGTGTGTGTACTTGACCGAGAGTGGTTGCCTTGTACATGTCTCCTCGTCCATTCACGCTACGGTGTAGCGCACGCATGCAACTTGTGATAGCGAGCTCTCTGGCACGTCCCTTTCCGGTAGTTGTAGCAGGCCGCGTTCAGTGTATCTGTACACGTCCATCAGGCCTATTCTGACCGCTAATTACAGTTTCATTATCAGTCATTGTCATCAGCAGGGCCCGGATTTTTATGACCTGAAAATATTTAAAAAAATACCGAAAAAATCCAGAAAAAAATGACCTAAAATATGACCCAAAAATGTAATATGCAGGGCCCGGATTTTGATGACCTGAAAATATTTAAAAAATTACCGAAAACATCCAGAAAAATGACCTAAAAGAGAAAAGAAAGAACACTTCGCTTCCATGTTAATCACATTTCAGAAAACATATGAAGAAAAATTCCCTAAAATGGTCAAAAATGACAAGAATACCCTTAAAAGTCCAAAATTTTACCAAAAAATTACCTTAAACCTAAAAATGTCAAAAAATTACCTATAAAATATACATTTCTGTAATCAGCAGCTCATATCCGAGATTTATATATTTAAGAGTATCGCATAAGATACAAGGAAAAAAGATGACATGTAATCAAAATCCGGGCCCTGGTCATCAGTTACTGAAGTAATGACACTACGTACATACATACTCGTACATACGTACATACATACATGCATACATACATACATACATACATACATACATACAAGTTATAGAAATGGGATGGTTACCGTTCTTTCAAACCGTGAATTCCTGTTTCAATAGCGCTACGAAAATGCGAGAATGAGAACAAACTCATTACTGACACTCGCACCTGTAATTCTGGTAGAAGGAGAGATCTGGTTTATCAACTATTAGGCCTAACGTATAGTATAGCTCGTTTTTACGTGTGTTCGCAACTTTGTGGAGCACCTGTTAAGTTTGCTCATTACGTCTGTTCGACCGTCTGTACTCACAGAATAACTCCACACAGTTGCTGAACCGACTTCACGAAATTTAATAGTGGAGAAAAATGCGAAAATTTGCCGAGGCATCTCAGTGTTTACATAGATCGGACAGGTTTGATGACCTACATGTATTTCTACGTGTATCTCCGTAAATATTTGTCGAAGAAAAAACTGTTTTGAACAGAAGTTTTAGAGAAAAAAGAAACGTTTGTATATTTCCACGTTAAGTCGTGTAGTTTTAGAGATAATGAAACAAAAGGGATATCGTGAGTACATTTCTTAACTTGAATATTCAGCAGTCAACAGTGATCTGCACAACATTCGCAATTAAGTAAATAAACAAAGCAAAAGATTTATATTTAATATTAAATTGTATGTGAGATTTATTTTACTCTTGTAATGTAATGCTTTATTACGATACGACTCTGAAGCATATTGTGACATGGCAACTGAAATATCAGAACAGTGGAGCCAGAATAGACGGCCCTTGCTCGGGAACGGCCGATAAACACGTTGAACACGTGATGTCACAATAAAAAACTGCTGGGAATGGTTGGAGTCATGGGTTAGGTGCGAGACATTTGCCAGCTGGTAACGAAATGAGTAGAATAACACACTGTTAGAATCCGTTGCCAGGCACCGAGTAGTGAAGACAAACTGAGAAGACTTAGCGTGTGCTGTAGTGATTCGTAAAGTCTGTGAATCAATGCGGCTATTAGAGTTACTTATATTTATGATTTGTAAATTCAGTTACCAATCCAAACCCCTCATCGGGCCACCAAATACTTGGCAGTATATTTTCACCTAATAATGAATTAGTGAATGTAAATTTTCTGTTTGATTATCATAACGGGAGAGCTTTGTAGCTTAGTGTACATGACTGGCAGGGGCGTGTCGTCGCATGCAGCATCCTATCCAATGGGTACCGCAGATAAAGCGGCCGGAGCGTGATGGCCTTTCTCTGCTTTAAACAATAATAACTTACATTAGAATAAAGTTTTTGAATTTTAATTAATTATTACATACAAAATAGTAATGTTATCATTTGTTATGTTCGGATGTAAAAATGTTTGAAAACATTGGTGATGAAAATAGTTGGACCTCCGAAGGAAAGTAAGTGAGGGTAATTACAAAATGGACACTTGTGATTTACATAGGTTGATGAGTATTCCTCAGACAGTGAATTCTGGAAAGCTGAGATAGGTGGGGCATGGCATTAACGTGAGGGAGGCGAAGAAGACGTGTGAGGTTTGGTCACGAAACCTCTTCGAAAGCATGCACTTGGAA